TAAACAGCACTATCCTTTCACCAACTCTCATGGAGTTCAGCAGACTGAGAAGGCAACTCGTTATCACCTGCCCAATTAGGAACTGGGAATAAATGTTGGCCCACCCAGCAAATCCCACATCCACTGAACAAACAAGGAGAAAAAAAATGATCCTAAGAGATGCAGGCTGGAAAAAAAGAGTTGCAGATCAGAACAGTAAGATAGAATAATGGTCAGGCTTGATGTGCTAAAGGGCTTTCCACTTCCTAATACTCCTTTCTCCAGATGTATTTGGTTGGAAAGCTGTGGCAAAAAGGGAGAAAATTTTATTGGAAGTAAACAGATTAGAAAAATGAAAACTGGTATTTCAGGGATGGTACTTTCTGAATAATATATTTTAACTTTACCAGACACTCGCGTTAATACTCTCTTCACCAAACCTCAGTTAGCCACGGCAGAGTTTGGTAATATTCTGGAAATGTGACTTTTCTAAATTAGGCTTACAGCAAACAAACTGGACGATGAAGCAGCGAGGTGGTTTGGAAATGTGCTCAAAGTAAACAGGAGCCTACAAACCTTATGGTACGTGATTCAGAAATGCTCAATATATCTGTGTCTTTACGCAATTTCGGAAAGGCCTCAATGTGACAGGAAAAGACTTCTTTTGATAAAGCAAGAAAAGGCTTGCATTTGTATTGCACCTTTTAGGGCCTCAGGGCATTTCAAAATGTTTCACAGTAAGAATATCATGATTGAATTGTTGGAAATGGAGTGCTTAGCGCAAACTATAAATTGCCACCACTAAATGGGGATTATAGTTGATTGGGTGCACAAATTACAAAAGGTAATTGAATTGTAATAAGATGTCATTTGTTTAAGCTTGCTATTGCACTTGGTATACTTAATTCAGGTATATAAAGTCTTTGCACATCTGTTTTCACCTGAAATACTTAGATCACTTAACATATTATAATCAGCATCTTTAACTTGACTTTAACTCCAACTGATAGCTGATTAGCACCATTTTTAGCTCATTTAAGCACTTGTTCAATAGGAGTATGGTTATTTTAATTAATAAGCCTATGCTCAGAACTTCCAGTCAGCATTAGTGCTGAGTTCATTGACACTGTTCACAAAGATTTCTGCAACCCACCTCTTTTATGATTTTATATCTATACCTTCAAATCCCAGTTGAAGCAGCAAAGGGTTGGTGCAAACATCCCCTTACAAGTTCATTGGACTCAAATAGAGGCGGACGAAGGAAGGACTTGCCCTCTTTCCATAGCAGTAGCTGCACAGTTACAGTTCCAAATCTTTCCATGAAAGAATGAGTTAGTGAATGGTGAATGGGTGAATCAGTCTGTGAGTAACAGACATGGATAAGTGATTAAGGTGAGTGAGCAGCTACTTGCATCAGTGATTGTCAGGTGGACTGTGAGCGGATTGGATTGGGAGGCCTATCAGACGGTCAGGTGCTGTTAAAGTTGTAGTGGGAGGTGGACCGGTCAGTTTTGCCAGTTGCGTGGTTGGTTGAAGATAGTTAGACTTCTTGAGGGTTACTCAGCTTGAGGGGTAGTTGGATTAGGCTGAGGATGGTCGGGTGTGGTTGTGGAGGAGTATTTGACTTCTTTTGAGATTAGTCAGGTCTGAGTCAGGGTGCTAATAAGATCCTTTCTGGGGAGGGAATGGTTGGGTTAGATGGGTCTAAGAGTCATTGGCTCATATAGTTGGATATGGTTGTGAAGCTGGTTTGGTCAGGTCAGGGATAATCTAGTCTTGTCAGAAGGTAGCAGGATCTGGTCAGGGACTAATTGAGTCATTTCTAAGGATAGTTAGGTTTTATTGAGGGTTGTGGAGGGTTGATGGGTCAGTTTGGGGATTGTCAGGTCAATTACAGAAGGGTGGTCAGAGAGTAGTTGAGGGGTAGTTAGGAGGAACCTTTATGGTACACAGATGAGTTTGATCATGGAACTGGACTAGATGTTAATTTATATAACATTTCCCGTGTAAGCATGCAGATAACTACTGTGTATCTGCAAAGTCTCAGCACTGAGCTTAGGGTCAAAAACTTTTATGCAGGGTTCCTGGCAGTGGAAATCCGCTCTTTGGAAGATGAAAATTCCTAGCCAATTTCAGGGTATGCTTGTCCATTAGAATTTCCATGAGAAATAGATGTGTATCTCCCAATTTATGTCCCAACTCTAAGTATTCAGATGCCAGATGATTTGGACCTATATTTTTGAATGCTCATCACTGTTGTAAGAGGCAAATAATAGATCGGACATTTGAGAAAGGATATGTGGCCATTCAAGGTCATCATTCAAGGTCACGTTCCTTGGTACCAGTGTGGAGCTGGAAGAACACAGCTGGTCAGACAGCATCAAGAGGGACAAAAAAGTTGACGTTTCGGGCCTAGACCCATCATCAGGACTGGGGAGGGGGAAGGGAGCTGGGAAATAAATAGAGGAAAGAGGTACCAGCTATTCATAGTTCTCTGAATTACTAGTTCAATTTTATAACTACAACAATGTAACTGACCCAAAATCCATGAAATAACTACTGTGGGTACAGGACATAGAGGTTATGTAACTGGACTAGTAATTCAGAGACCTGCTTTCCAGAGATCTGCAAATATTAAGTTCTATCATGGCAATTGGACAAATTAAACTTGATTAATTGAATAAAATCTAGTATTAGTAATGGGTGACCAGAAGACTACCAGATTCTTCCATAGAATATTTGGCCCAAATGCAAAGAATGCCATCAAAATGGCTACCTGTGCTTCACACAGAAACAGTGTGGTGTCAGTTACTGGAGTCAGATGTCTGTAAGGTAGAATGAGTCATCACATGAGGGGCTGACTTCACCATGTTCCATGTGTATTAACTTCACACGAGCTGTACACATGGCCCCACTGAGGCCAGAGCTCTGCATGTCCAGGGAGCCAGGGACTGATAATCAGGTAGGCTGGGAGTAGAGGCATAGGCTAGCCTACACATCTCTGGACACCATGGGTAATTTAGCATGACCAATCCACATAACCTACATATCTTTGGACTGTGGGAGGAAACCGGAGCACCCGGAGGAAACCCACACAAACATGGGGAGAATGTGCAAATGCCACACAGACAGTTACCCAGGGCTGGAATCGAACCTGGGGGCCCTGGCACTATGAGGCTGCAGTGTTAACCACTGACCCACTGTGCTGCCCTTTCCCAACCAGGAATAGCTCGGGTCTGGGTGGACTACACCCCAGAATTCTGAGGGAGATAGCTGAGGAGATTGTAGGCGCATTTGTGGTGATCTTTCAGGAATCACTGGAGTCAGGGAGAGTCCCAGAGGACTGTAAAATGGCTAATGTAATGCTCTTGTTTAAGAAGGGAAGGAGGCAGAAGCTAGGAAACTATAGGCCAGTTAGCCTGACTTCAGTCATTGGCAAGATTTTAGAGTCCATTATTAAGATTGCAGGCTACTTAGAAGTGTATGGTAAAATAGGTCTGAGTCAGACAGCTTTGTCATGGGGAAGTCATGCCTGATAAATCTGTTAGAATTCTTTGAAGACTTAACAAGTAAGTTAGACAAAGGAGAGCGAGTGGACATGATCTATTTAGATTTCCAGAAGGCCTTTGACAAGGTACCAAGCAGGATTCTGCTAAATAAGATAACAGCCCATGGTGTTAGGTGCAGGTACTGGCATGAATAGAGGATTGGCTAATTGGCAGAAGGCAGAGAGTAGGGATAAAGGGATCCTTTCCACAACAGCAGCCGGTAACTAGTGAAGTTCAGCAGGGGTCAGTGTTGGGACCACAATTATTCACGCTACACATTAACTATCTGGATGAAGGAACTGAGAGCATTGTTTTCAACATTGCAGCTGTCACAAAGATAGGCGGAGGGACATGTAGAGCAGAGGAAGCGGGAAGCTGCAGAAGGATTTTGACAGACTAGGAGAGTGGGCAAGAAGTGGCAGATGGAATACAATGTGGGAAAGTATGAGCTTATGCACTTTGGAAGGAAGAATAGATGGACAGACTATTTTCATAATGGTGAAAAGCTTCAGAAATGTGAAGCACAAAGAGACTTGGGAGTCATCATTCTGGATTCTCTTAAGGTTAACATGCAGGTCCAGTTGGCAGAGAGGAAAGCAAAAGCAATGTCAGCATTCATTTTGAGAGGGCTAGAATATAAGAGCAGAGACGTACTGCTGAGGCTGCAAAAGGCTCTGGTGAAAACACATTTGGAATATTGTGAGTAGTTTTATGCCTCATATCTAAAGAAAGATGTACTGCCATTGGATTAGAGGGGGTCCAGAGGAGGTTTACAAGAATGATCCCGGAGATAAAGGGCTAGTTGTGTGAGGAGCAGTTGAGGACTCTGGGTCTATATGTGATGGAGTTTAGAAGGATGAGGGTGATCTGATTAAAACTTATAGTATACTGAGAGGCCTGGATAGAGAAGATGCAGAGAAGCTGTTTCCATTAGTATGAGAGTCTTGGACCACAGGGCACAGCCTCAAAGTGAAGGGACAACCCTTTAGAACTGAGTTGAGCCAGAGGTTTGTGAAGCTATGTAACTCATTGCCGCAAAAGGCTTTGGAGGCCAAATCATTGAGTTTATATAAGACAGAGATAGATAGGTTCTTGATGAGAAAGGGGACCATACGTTACAGGGAGAAGGCAGGAGAATGGGGTTGAGAAATGTACCAGCCATTAATAATAGCGGAGCAGATTTGATGGGCTGAATGACCTAATTCTGCTTCTATGTCATCTAGTGTTATGGTCTTCTAACAGAAGAAATGATTATTATTAAATAAGCAAGTATGTGTATTTTGGAACTTAATGTTTCAGTGAATTTTTATCTGCTTCCTGTCTGGTCTCCAATTATATTGTTATGGTTACTGGTATTGTACCTTTTATTATTATTGGTACACTGTGACCTTGGTCCATAGTTTCTGGACTGAACTTGAAATGTAAAGGTTTTACTACCTAGAAATCACATTTTTAAGGTGGTTTCCTTCAGCCATTTTAGCTTCATCAGTAAATATTAATCTGAAAATGATTGATCTTTTTTCACTAAAATTACCATCTAAGCTTACCCATAAATATTACTTCAGGTGATAGGAAGATTGTGAGTTGAGAACCAAAAGACAGTGAGTTCCAGAAGGGAGACATCAGGAAGCAGGCTGCACAACATAGAGATGGTAGGATATAATGATGATAGGGATAAGTAAATGACAATGACTCAATGAAAGGCAGAGGGATACAGAGGCCACATAATGGTAACAGAAGGATGTGGATGGCATTCAATGGGAAAGAGGTTGCAGAAAAACCATGGTCCAACCCACAGCATCACAATCTTCTTATCGGGACCAAGGAGGCGGTTCCTGAATCCCTACTGGTCAAAATAGGGATTGAACCCCAGGCTGTCATCACCAATCTGATCCACACAGGCTCTCCTGCAAAGCGGCCCACCCCATCCCTCACTTTCACGTGCATGTTGTAGCCAGAGGCCACGCATAGCGACAATGGGGTGTCCACTTTCTTCCCACCTCATGGGATGTCCAGAGATTGCTCCCATTTTTACCACCTGCCACTGGTATATTTTGGAACGATTTACAAGATGATACTCAACCTGTTTGGGCACGTTATAAAATGTCCTATTTGACCATCATGTCCTGGAGACGAACTTGAACGCTGATCTAACGTAGAGGCAGCGATGTTACTGAATGTACCACAAGACCTTCTATGGAGGGTGGACAGTGGGTTAAATGAGATAGAAGGGTTGCAAAATGGGAGACAGCTTATTAATGGAGAGACATAATTGGGGCAATAAGGGGTCACACATGTGGAGAAATGTTGGTTAGTGAGCAATAAAAGATGCACATTGAAGATAATAGGAGGGGTATAGCAGTTACACAGTTTAAAAAAAAAGTAAGTTGTGTATGAATCTAGTCCCATTTAAACAGAAGGCCTTGGATGTGGGAATAACTAACATTACCTAATATGCATCCGACCTGCCCATGACAGTGTTCATATAGACAGGATTACGCACAGGGTGGGTGGGTAAAACTTACCAGAAGTGAGCCAAGCCATTAATAGAAGAAAACAAGGATAAAACTAAGATATTGTTCTTTTTTCAGGTTGGTTGAGAATAACATTACATTGATTGGAGCAAAACATCTCATTGATGCACTGAAAATAAACAACTCAATGCAAGAGATTTGGTAAGAACAGACCTGAGAAACTATGTTCTACATTAACTGGGCACCTCTGCTTCTGCTGCTGAACTACCTGGTTTTCCAAAGTTAGTCACATAGCTGAATTCATTCTCAGGAGCTGGAAGTTATCTAAAACATATTTTGGTTTTCCACAATATCAGAAAACCACTTTATGTCAATTTTAAAACCACCATCTTGGGAGAAAGTGGAAAAGGAAAAAGTGTTTAAAGTGGAAGTCTAGTCTACTGAATTGTTCATAACCCCAAACATTTTAAATTTAGGTATTTGTTCTCTTCTTGGTTTCTCTCAGTTTCTTTTGTTCTCCCATTGCTTCTATTCAGATCAATTAGTCAGAGATAGCCTAGGAGTACACATTCAGTGGGGAATTTCCTGCTCTGTGACATCAGAAAGCTCCACTCCATTTATATCATGATTGGATCTGGATCCATTCTCTTAGATATTGTCACCTTTACTTACAATAACCGATTAATAGACTCGAGTCTTGCTGATAAAAAAACACCATTTTGTTGAAACTTTTTATCTTGCACTCATCAGGACAATTTGCAAGAATACCAATTCAAGGGGTAAAACTAACATTTATAAATGACTTTGATGAAATATGATGTGGAGGTGTCGGTGTTGGACTGGGTTGGACAGAGTAAAAGGTCACCTTACATGAGGTTATAATCCAAAAGATTTATTTGAAATCACAAGCTTTCAAAACACTGCTCCTTCATCAGGTGAAGTGAAGAGGGCACCCAGGCACAGGCTTTAAAATCAAAGAGATCAAAAAATTGTACAGATGTTGTGAGTGGAGTGTCGACAGGCCAAATAGTAGGGCTCTGCAGGTGATCAAGGGTGTCAGATGGTGTGAGTAAAGTGTCAGTGGCTGAATAACAAGTGAAGGGATGATCTATAATCCAATTAATTGAGGCAGAGAGATAATTACAAAAAATTAAAAATAAGGTGGTGTTGGAGACAAACCAAATGATGGAATAACATGCTAGGTATAAGAGTTGCATGTTGAGGCTCTAACTAAAGTAACAAGTAATCCAAAACTGTACAAACTAATTAAGGTAGAGAGGTAATAACAAGTAATCAAGGTGATGATGCCAAAACAGGATAGTGAAGAAGATTTTACAGAACAGTATGGTGAGGTTACATGAATTGCGACATGAACCCAAGATCACGACTGAGGCCGTGTTCATGGGTGAGGAACTTGGCTTCCAGTTTCTGCTCAGCGATTCTGCGTTGTTGTGTATCTCGAAGGCTGCTTTGGAAGACACTTATCCGAAGATCAGAGGCTGAATGTCCTTGACCGCTGAAATGTTCCCCGACTGGGAGGGAACATCCCTGTCTAGTGATTGTTGTGCAGTATCCATTCATCCGTTGTCAGAGCGTCTGCATGTTCTCACCAATGTACCATGCCTCGGGGTATCCTTGCCTGCAGCGTATGAGGTAGAAAACATTGGCTGAGTCACATGAGTATCTGCTGTGTATGTGGTAGGTGTGTTCCCACATGTGATGGTAGTATCCATGTCGATGATCTGACATGTCTTGCAGAGGTTGCTGTGGCAGGATTGTGTAGTGTTGTTATTGCTATTGTCCTGAAGTAGTAGTTTGCTGCGAATGATGGTCTGTTTAAGGTTTGGCGGTTGTTTGAAGAAGGGAAATGGAGACGTAGGGATGATGTGGCAACATATCATCGATGACAATGAACATCTCACCAAGATCAGCCCGGAAGCATGGCACTTGTTACTTTGGTTAGACCCTCGGCATGCAACTCTTATACCTAGCATGTTGTTCCATTTGGTTTGTCTCCAGCACCACCTTATTTTTAATTTTTTGTAATTATTTCTCTGCCTCAATTAATCGGATTATAGATCATCCCTTCACTTGTTATTCAGCTGTTGACACTTTACTCACACCGTCTGACACCCTTGATCACCTGCAGAGCCCTAATATTCGGCCTGTCGACACTTCACTCACACCATTTGTACCACCTTTTGATCTCTCTGATTATAAAGTCTGAGCCTGGGTGCGCTCTTCACTTCACCTGATGAAGACGCAGCGTTCCAAAAGCTTGTGATTTCAAATAAACCTGTTGGACTATAAACTGGTGCTGTGTGACTTTTGACTTTGATGAAATATATCTTTTTTCAGCAATATTCAAGTTCTGTACTGCCAAACAACTGCTAAACTCCTTGAAATGCTTGTAATCTGTGCAAAATTTGGATTTTATATCTCTACAAAGTGGTCTCTGGTACAACACAACTGATGGCATATATATTGACATCAACCTACTTTGACACACAGTATATCATGACTGGGGAGTTTGACAGCCTGGGTGTTGCTTTTGCAGGTTATGGTCTTTATAACTGAATCATTAGATTGGGAAATCTGTTGTGATCTATCACTACAATCTTGTAAATGTCGGCATGACTTTCTGCTTAAATAATCAGCATCTTTAATGAAAACCGCCAATTGAAGCTGCCCATTGGTTCCCATGTATAAAGTGTTGTCAGAGATTAGACTCAAACAATCATCATGACATAAAGAATATTATTATTTTCCTTCCCCAAATAAAAAAAATGTTTGGCTAAAATACTCACCTTCTTCCACACTCAACATGTTTATTTCCTTCAAGTTAAAAAGCATCTTGGAAGTTCTCTCAATAACTTTTAACAATAACTTTTCTAAGATACATTCCTATCTGTTATACTGTATGGTTCAGATTTAATAAGAGCTTCAATTTTCTGTCATGGTTAACAATTGGCAAGTGCATTCCCAGTATCGGTGTCGCACAAAATTATTATACATAAATTGAATTTAGTAACTTCACATCACTAACTCCCTCTGTCTAGTTTTTCTTTATTTTCCTGTTCCTCCTTCACATGCATTCCCTCTTTCTATCTCGCCATTCCATACATCCAGCTGCTTCTGTAAATAACTGTAAGTAGCGACACTCATTTAGTTAATACACTTCCAAACCCAGAGGTGTCAGATTGCACCCAAAATCAGATCATAAGTGCATGCAGAATAACAGAATCAATGTCATTGTTTTCACTCAGTTAGCATTGAGGGAGGGAAACCTGAAAGGAAGCTCTGCTTTCAGATTCCACCGCCTAGTGATCAAGTACCGGTGTCGTAAATCAGAGTTGAGAAAACAGGGCCTTTACTCCATATTGGCTGTAGGCTATGACTAGATATGAAAGAGGGAAAAAATAATAAAGGCTTCATGGGCAACCATTTTCATGGTATTTTATTTCTTGGGTCTTTCCTAAATCAGCCTGAAGAGCAATAAAATATCCATTGAAGAAACCAGAGCCCTTATTACAGAGCAACGCATTGTGTTCTGAATAGCACCTACTGCAGTGGGATTTAGAATTGATAATCTGTGCCAAGGAGATACCACACCTGCAATGCTATCTGAAGAGAACAAATATTGTTCAGTGTGGTAAAATGTACACCAAATTACTCAAAAAGATTAAAATTTAACATATTTTGCTGTTAAAACTGTGGAATATATGATGTATATATGTGGATAACAAGATAATACTTCAGAACTTTAAAGATATGTTGTGCAGTCAATAAAAATCTTACATAACAACTATATACAAAACCATATACTCGTTGTTACAATTCTGTTACATTCTTGCAGCAATGTATTAGCAGGTTCAAATTTACAATGAAATCTGACTATGTAAACTTGTCATATGTATTACAATCTAACCAGCGTGACTACTAATTTCCCCCATAAATAGGCACGTTATAATATAGAAATTTTTTCTATAAACTGTTGTTGATAAAAACCTCACAGACATCTTGCGCTTTATTTTTCCTCATCAGTTATTTTTGTTCACTAGTACTTACACAATTAACTTCTGAGCAGTACCTCTGATTTTATAGAAAATTATGTCTTCATCATCAGAAAGCTACAGGGCTATGGGCCTGTATGGGCTGGGAAGTGGGACTAGTGTAGATTTATGTATCTTTAGTCGCACAGACTCAATGGGCTGAAGTGCCTGCTCTGTACTCTATGATCCCATGTACCTCTGTTTAAAGTCGCTATAATACAAACATAAATACATATTTAGATTTGCAGCGCTTTCTGACTGTCTACAGCCATACAGTGTCATACAGTGATTGTGTCCAAGTTTAATCTTGTTCCTGTGCTCTAGTCTTAGTACAATATTATTTATCATTAATTGTATGTATTAAGTAGCACTTTCAATTAATTGATGAGGATGAAATATAATCCACAGAGTTGCATCATCTAATGTTTGTGTCATGAAATGTATAAATGCTTTTTAACTAAATTTGTCATCAAATCGAACAAGTATTGTGGTCAAGCCATTTTTTTATCGAGTGGATTGCTAGTGTTGTTCATGTAAAGCTATAGAATACTATTACTCCGTTTCTTCATGTCATTGTTTTCAGGCTGTGTCAACCTGTCATCTTCTGCCTGCTTCCTACTTTTGCCCGTCTCAGTCTTCTCATTAACAACTACAAAAACGGATATTGTTGGAAAAACTCAGCAAGTCCAGCAGCATCTGTGGAGAGAATGCAGAGTTTAACATTTCAGGTCCAGTGGCCATTCTTCAGAACACTGTCTTCTCATTTGTTGTCTTTGTGCTTTGTGTGCCATTCTTCCATCTTTCTTCCCTTTTCTTCATTGATATGCTGTGGCCGTTGAGGGGGGATGGGGCGAGGGAGGTTTTGCTCGTCATTGGATCAGAATGCCGATTGAACAAGGGAAGATGGTTTTTCAGTTGCTTGACAGGAAGGGAGTGAGTAACAAATGTGTGTTAATCACACATTACAATCCCACTTATTTTTCCTGAATTTCATTACCATTGACATTCATGTATCTTAATAATGCAAACAAGACACAGAGAATCTACAGTGTCAGACAGTGGCAAATGCATTTTATTGTGATGGAATAGTATTTTAGAACTGTACAACTCATCATTTTGACTTTAGTAGTTTGGAAGGAGCAGATGGTTTTTGCTGCCACAGATTATAGGTTGCATATTTTCATAGGCCTGGGTGCCACCGTCCTTAAGTCATTCTGAAAAATGACATTTTATTGAATGACATTTCATCTTGCACTCATCAGAACAATTGCAAAAAGTTTCAATAAAGTATGTCCTTTTTCAGCAATTCTTAAGTTTTGTGCAATCAGACATCCTTTTACCCTACATTTCCTTGAAAAATGGCAGTGCATTATTTTGGTGAAAGGGTGAAAATTGATACTAAGTGGGTGTTGTGTCAATAAGGCATCTCTGTTTAAATATCCATTTTTTGGAGTTTGATTGGTGAAGATTTAAACTTGCTTGAAGGCACTAAATGGGAGGCCTACACAAGCACCGATTAGGAGCAATTCTTATCCATTAGTTTGGATAACCTCCATTGAACAGATGGAACTTGTAGAATCCCTACAGTGTGAAAACAGGCCATTCACCCCATCAAGTCAACACTGACCCTCCAAAGAGCATCCTGTCCAGACCCACCCTATTGCTGTGACTCTGTATTTCCCATAGCTAGTCCACCTAGCCTGCACACCCCTGGGCAATTTAGCATGGACAATCCACCCAGTCCACATGTCTTTGGACAATGGGAGGAAACCAGAGCACCTGGAGGAAACCCATGCAGACACAGGGAGAACATGCAAACACCACACAGGCAGTCACCTGAGGGTAGAATTGAACCCAGGTCCCTGGCACTGTGAGGCAGCAGTGCTAACCACTGAACCACTGTGCTACCCTAACTCATTGGCTGACATGAATCAAGATGTTTCAGACACTGACAGGAAAGGTACCAAGAGATTTCAAACTTAGCACTAGAGACCCTGATGGAGAGATAGCTAGATGTCCTGTACATGCAGCAGGAAAGAAGCTCATCATGCAGTGGATTTGAAGGGGTAATTGCAAAGGAGATTACTATCAAGAGCAAAGCTCCTAGTTCTGCAAAAAAGTTCAACAATATCGTAAGCACACTTTGCAATAACCAGTATCACAAATTCAACATGCTTCATCTGCTATCTATCTATACACCAACATTCAAACAGTCTACAAAACTGTATCATTTCCCCATTACTGACTGGGACTCCCTTAGTCCTCCAAGGGCTTAAATGGGACATTAGTGAAATAAATGCATTTTGACAATATCTGTGATCGTTTTATGGTCACCATTACTGACATTAGCTTGATAATACAAACTTATTGACTGAATTCAAATTCCATCACTGTGGGAATAGAGCCCATGTTTCCAGTGCATTAGCCTGGGCCACTAGATTACTAGTGCATTGAGTTGACACAATCCACCATCTCCTCTACATCTGGAATTATTTAAAGCCTCTGTCAGCAATTGGGATTGACCCAATTATGGAGAAACTTCATTTGTATTGATTTACCAGTGTATTAAAAGACATAATATTGAAGAATGTACTGCGCAGTCACTGTCCAGCTTGGGTGCAATTGTGGTAAATGTCAAATCTACAATGTACACTGTCCTTTTACATGATTAAAAAACAAGAAATCTAAGGTTATGCACTACAGTTAGGAGTTTAATGTTCTACAAACCATGATTACAAAATCAAAGTACCATAGACACTGGGAATTTGAAACAAAAAACAAAACAAAAATGCTTCAAAAATACTCAACAGCCAATCTGCATTCGTAGAGAGAGTAACACAAGTGGTCAATATTACAAGCGATGTAATAGAGAGTACAGAGACATGAAAAGGAGAAAGAACAAAAAAAAAAGTTCTGATAGAGTGGAAGGAAGGAAGGAGCAAAGAATTAAATGCCTGAACGTGAGCAATGAACAGTGTGCTAAGTTGAAAGTACAAGTAAACTGCTGTTTCACCTGGAAAGCTGGACATACTTGAAGGGCTGGGGTCTTCATTAAAGAACATGTTGTTTGTACTGTCACCATTAGCATCAAGTTAGAAGAGGTAAAAAGGCACGTGTTGTGTATGTATGAAAAGGTTTTGTGGGAAAAGGAGGGGGTCTATGTGGGTGATTGAGATACATATCAGGACATTGTGGGGAAAACGTCCTTCAGAATGCCGAATGGTGAGAGGAAGATATTTTGGTGCTACAGTCAGAAGATATGTGTCGAATGTGGAAGCTGTTGAATGTGGAATACCAGGACAAGTGGAACATTATAATCATTCTGGAAGGGAGGGGATGGGGTGAGAGCAGAAGTGTACGAAATAGAGCAAATACAGTCAGGGGCTCTGCATCACAATACATGGGATTCCTTGGTTGAGGTAAAAGGACATCAGAAACATTGATATGGGATATGGATTTGTCAGAACAAATACAATGGATTTGGAGAAATTTGGCATGTGGAATAGAGCCCTTACAAAAAGAAATATGGAAGGAAGCTCAGCCATGTTTGGTGTGGGCTTATAGCAGATACTAGTCAATAGCCTACAATGCAAACAGAAGTTGAGGAAGGAAAAATGGGTCATGTGAAAGCAAGGGAGGAATGTAAATTAGAAACAAAACTGCTGACATTTTCAAGTTCAAGGGAAAAACCAGCGATGACACCGAAATACTGAGGGCAAGAAGTGAAAGATGAAGTTGTTCAATGTGACAATTGAAGAATATGGTGTTGGGGACTGATTGTGCCTTTATTCAAGAAAGAATTGGCAGTCCTCAGGCCATTTGGTGGTGGTTGGAAGTTTGGGAGGATTAGAAATCCATCAGGACCAACGTACTGTTAAAATGGTGGAGGACATCAGAAGAAATGCTAACCTTCATGCGAAGAGACTAAACACAGGGATGTGAAAGAAAAATAGCCAAGATAGGAAGGAAGGTGAATCAATGGCTCTACCAGAACATTTCTATTGGCAAATGTAGGGAAGGTGACAAAAGCAAGGCTATGCAGGGCTGTAGGTTGAGTTTGCTGGAGGTAATGGAGATAAAATCTCTATCAAAGATGAACTCAGTGACAGTCTGGAAATTTATGGCTTGATGTTCAATGTCAAAGACACAGCATCAGAGGGTTGCAAGGCAGAGAGAGTTTGAGTTCACAGACACATCGCCATTGGTTTAGTGCCAATGTTAGGCCTGAGCCCAAAAGATCAAAATGTAGCAAGTCCAGGGGAAGGAAAGTGAGAACATGTAAGAGGAGCAATGAAATTGAGATCATCAAGGTCATGCCAACAGTTTCCAATAAAATAATCTAGAGAGAGGAAAAGGCTAAAGGACATGGTTCAGGTCGATCAAGAATTTGGAAGAAGGGAAGGTTCCACCGTTCAAGGAAAATATCTCTCGCCAAGGAAATGGATACAAAAGTGAGTGATAATGGAAAATAAGCAAGAAATATATCACTTTCCTGCTTAGTTCTTCTCTTCCCAGTACCCCAAACACTCCTTCCAGGCAAAACAGAGATTCACACATATTTCTTGCAATTTAGTGAACTATATTTGTTATTTCTGAAGCATTCTCCTCAGTGTTGGGAGACAAAATGCAGATTAGTTGACCAGGACACCTCCCTTCAGTTCACAAGTGTGATGAACTTCTGATATCTGTCAATTACTCTGATCATGTCCTCCCGCAATGTTCCCATGAAACTAAATGTAAGCTCAAGAATAGCAACTCATCTTCCAAAAGGTCATTTACAATCTCAACATTGAATGCGACAAATCAGATCTTATTCACTGTGTTTATTTTTACAGTTGGTCACAATTCAGCTATTCCCATTTTTACTATTTTGGGATCCATTTTATTATACCATGACCATCTCATTTTCCCTGCACCATCATCTGTCATTCTATCTCTACTGCCTTTCCACCCTATTGCAGACTTTTCTCTTAGATCTGCTGTCCTTTCCCAGCCTCTGTGCTTGCTTAAAATCTTTCCCAGCTCCAATTCTTTCCAGTTCAGATAAACGGCCATTTTCCCGAAATGTTAACTCTGTTTTTCTCCACAAACAATGACTGACCTGCTGAGTGTTTCCAGAAAATTTGTTTTAATTTCCTAATCACTGTTCATTTCACCTCATTGATACATCAAGGAAATCGATTCTTAGTCTCCCCACCAGCATTCCAGAGAAGAGTGCATCATAGCAAAATAAACCTTATTTTAGGAAATTAAGTTGAGTCAACCCTTCACAAAATTTCCCGGTAAATAAAATTACAGAAGACATAAATCAACAATTTATCTGCTTGCATGCAATTACAACTGACAATTTAATGAGACCAAATGATGACTCATTACAGGTTGAACCATTTTAAAAGGGTGCAATTCCATGAAGCTTCATCAAATGTCATAAACAATACACAATGTTTTGCCACTGTTCTTTTGATGCTTTTTTCCAGCAAAAAAATTCATTTTCTCGAAGCGAAAAATCACAGGTTAATTTGTTCAGCAGGTTTAATTATATTCGGATGCTAGAGAAACAATTTAACAAAAAAAGAAGTGAGTGACATTTTCCAACTCAGTCCGATCATTTAAAAATATTCTCCCCTAATTCTTCACCTAAATGGTAAGTCACATTCAAGACGGTAGAACTGGTGTTGGTCTGGTTGTGGAAGAGATCCTTTATAGGGTTTATTTTTGTCAGCAAACAGTGAAAGACTGACTGGGTCACCAAAGTACTGATCGTCAACAGGAGTGTATGAACACTTCATGTGAAATAACCCGTATCTCTCCTGAAAACAGCGCTCCTGCTTATGGTATCGAGTGTCATGGGGGCCAGAAACTATCTTCTACTTCTCCAAGTGCCCATTTCTCCACTGGTCAGCAGAATATTTCCTCCAAGGTTCAAACCTACCCTTGTCCAATATCTGTAGGCTTCCTAGAACAAGTCACTAGATGGTAATCATGGAAATACATAGAAATTACAACAATGAAATAGGCCATTTGGTCCAATTAGCTCATTGCAATATTTAACCTCCATGTGAGTACATGTTCAAATGACATATACCAATCTTGTACCATCAACTCCTACTCTCAGCAGTCGCCACATAATTCCATCCTTCTGGATCACTATTCATTTCAAACTAGAATTAAAAGCTCTGGCCTTTCCTTCCCCAACTTAATCAGAAAAACCAAGGTCACTTATATCTGATAAGAATCAAACATCAAGACTGGACATCAGCACAGAACAGCCAAGAATAGTTGCTTTGGAGAAGTCATGACAGATTAGAAATATTGCAACAACAACAACAAAAACAAAGTTGCTGGAAAAGCTCAGCAGGTCTGGCAGCATCTGTGAAGGGAAAAAGCGTTAATGCTTCGGGTCCGGTGACCCTTCCTCAGAACAGTTCTGAAGAAGGGTCACCGGACCCAAAACGTTAACTCTGTTTTTTCCTTCACAGATGCTGCCAGACCTGCTGAACAACTTTGTTTTTGTTCCTGATTTATAGCATCCGCAGTTCTTTCAGTTTTTATATAGAAATATTGCAAGTTTCACTAAAAAAGATCTTTACTCAAGGTGTTCTGTTATTCATCATAAAAGAAATATTCAGATTCTTTCTTTCCCCATTTCAAGTAGATATCTTACGGCAGCTTTTAGTGCTTGATGTAGGTCCTCGATAATATCTACGACGTCCTCCAAACCAATAGATAATCGGATTAGGGTATCACTTATCCCCAGGGCATCTCTCTCCTCCTTCGGAACAGAGCTATGTGACATAATAGCCCTAAAAACAGAAAAGTATATTGTGCTGATTTATTTAGGACGTTTTCTGTCAACACACAGAATTAAGCATTTTTTTCATCATTTCCCCGGCCCTGCCTTATATATTTACTAACAGAGATGATTTTATTCCTGTATTTGTTTGTGTGCAAGGCTGCTGAGGTGAGGTAAGATGAGAGTATTGTGGATAGCAGATGTGTGGAAGGGGATTGCACTTTTAAATTGACCTAACCAATGCACGGAACCCAGAATTACTGCCAGAACTATTAGAATGACACTTGACTTTTTTGAGTGAATCTTTTATTTAGGTACTTGTGGAACTTGGAATTCAAATCAGTCCAGCCTATAGCCAGGATGAAACTTTATAAAATTTCTTGAGAAAGAGCAAGTATCTATGTGGTCATGTATGCTGGAGGAAATGTCTTAGAATAGCTCAGCAC